GTATAGCAGGGATTGTGGGGCTGGCGCGGGATCGGGCAGTGTTTCGTTCTGCTGTGCATGGGGTCGCTATGAGTTGGAAACAACTCGACGGCACTTAACAACAACAACAACAAGTCTTTATGGAAGTAGACTGCCCCATCTTCTGCAAAGTGGCTGGTGGGTTCAAACCACAAATCTTTTGGTTAGCAGCCAAATGTTTAAACACTACACCATCAGAGCTCTTTGTTGTAAGTGAGGGAAGGAAATATAGGTACCAGTTTTCTTGACTAAAACTGTAAAGACACACACTCCCTTTCACCCTCTAACTCACTCACTCTTTTGAAATAAAAAGCAGAATATCAATTTTCAGCAATTTAAAATGATATTTTTTAAAATGCTATCATTGAAGAAACTTTTTCAGAGATATTAGTTTACAATTACTGTACTTATGTCATTAGGAGATATATTTGATATCATCTAAAATGGCTTTGGAATATAATTATTCTCTTCTTTTGTCTGTAGATTTGGCAGAATGGTATGTTCCTACTGGTGGAATGTTTTTATGGATCAAGGTTAAGGGTATTTCTGATACAAAACAATTGATTGAAGAAAAAGCCATGAAGAATCAGGTAATTCTTGATTTGAATGAAAATGGAGATGTTTCTCATTGCCTACCACCCCAACTCATAATTTTTAACACCACATATGTTATCTCGTTATGAAAATCATAACATATATTTGGGATGCATAAGTAATTATTTATCTGCTATACATTTCATGGGAATACAGTCTCTATATCATTTTGACTACTGAGTAGCTTAGTGGTTAAAATCAGTCTCTGGCATGACACTTCCTGGATTTGAGTCCCAATTCCACCCCTGCCTGGATGTGTAGTTTTAGGTAAATGACTTAACTTCCCTGTGCCTTATCTCTGCAATGGAGGTAATAAGAATCCTTCTCTCATGAGTTTGCTGTGATAATTAAATGAGTTGACACATGTAAGTCACTGAGACCTCATACATAGTAAATGCTTGAAAAGCTGAAATACTTAAAATAGATTATTTTCCTCAATATGAAGGTAAAGAATCCTAATGGTAGCAAATTTGGAAAATGCATAAAAGTATAAAGAAAAATGTTTAAATGACCCATAACTTCACCATCCAGATTTTGTGATCATTTATGGTAAATTTTCTTAAAGAGCTTGTATATAGTCTTCTAATAGTTTTGCTGTGTAATTATTTTACATGGTTAAAATTGCATAAAGAAGTTTGTATCCTGCTTTTTTTATTTAAAATTAACTCACAAAAATTTCTTCTAGGATTTTTATTTCTCCTTTTATATTTAGATCATAAATATACTTAGAATTCACTTGGCAACATTAAGCTGAAAAACCTAAATGTTCTTCCATGTTGCTATCCAGTTTACCAATGAATTTATCCCTTCTCCATTAATTAATTCCTTTATCATGTTTTCAGACTTTTTGCTACACTAAGATCTATTCTTAGGATCATTTTTTTCTTTAAGCAATAAGTTAAAAAAAACAAATTGGGTTAACAATGGTGCTGTACCATAGTGCATAAGAGACAAGGTATGTAGAGGTCAGACCTAGAGACAGACTGCCTGGACATGAATACTGGCTCTGCTACCTTGGTCAGGTAGATCCTCTAACCATCTTACTTAAGGGCAAGACTTACACTTTATTAACTGTTCTAATCCTAGTAACAAGGACCTATGGTGGCACAGTAGGTAAGGCATTTGGCTGCTAACCAGAAGGCCAGCAGCTCAAACCTACCAGCTGCTCTGAGGGAGGAAGATGAGGCATTCTACTTCAGTAAAGATTTACAGCCTTGGAAACTCAATGGAAGTTGCTATGACTCAGAATCGACTCCATGGCAATGGGTTTGATTTTGGTTTGTGGTAGTGATGGCTAGTGACAGCACATACTCATTGCCACTGAATCAATTCCAACTCATGGAGACCCTAGAGGATAGAGTAGAACCTCCCTATAGAATTTGCAAGGCTATAATCTTTATGTAAGAGCTCTGGTTATGGAAGCAGACTGCCATACCTTTCTTCCCCAGAAAGGCTGGTGAGTTCAGATCACCAGCTTTTCAATTAGCAGCTGACCACATAACCACTACACCACCAGGGATCCTTAGTAACAGCACATTAAAAATAAATAAATAAACTCACTGCCATCGAGTCAATTTGGACTCCTAATGACCACTCCTTAGGTTTCCAAGGAGGTATCTCTAGAGAAGAAGATTGCCCAGCCTTCTTTTCCAGGAGTGGCTGGTGGGTTAGAACTGCCAGGCTTTTGGTTAGCAGTCACATGGCTTAGGCACATACCAAAAAATAAAAAATAAACCAAACTCACTGCCATGAAGTCAGGTCCAACTCTTAGCAACACCTCCTTGAGTTTCTGAGGAGCTGTCACTCACTACCAAAGTAGATTGCCCAACCTTCTTTCCAAGGAGTGGCTGGTGGGTTTGAACACCAGCCTTCTGGTTAGCAGCCAAATGCCTTAGGCACTATGCCACCAGAGCTCCCATAGTAGATACTTAACAAATATTTAACTGACTTATTTCAAAAACATACATTGTAATGTAAGCACTTTGATACTTTCTTTGATTTTCTATCTATGTTATTTGATAAATGGCTATTTGTATGCATCTTTGAACTAAATGGTATGGATATAAGCTTAATATCTTATTATAATTTTTTCAATCCTCTTCATTTATTCCGCAATCATACTGCCTACACCTTTGTTTTTTCTAAATAACCTCCAACCTGAAAATCACTACCTTAACCTGCATTTTGTCCATTTTACAAAGAGACGATTACCATTTCCTCCTTGCTTCTAATGTATCCCCAAACTTTTCCTCTATAATAGGGAAAATGATTGTTTTCATTTTATTGTTAATCAGGACAAAGAAACTTAATTTCTGATTCAAAATTGTATCCCTAGAATGTCCCAAATCATTTCATTCCCAACTGATCCTGTTTTAGCAGACAGAGAACTGTCCCATGGGGTTTCCAATGCTGTAAATCTTTACAGAAGAAGACTGCTTCATCTTTCTCTCACAGAGCCGCTTGTTGTTGTGTTATGTGCCGTCAAGTTGGCCCTGACTCATAGCGACCCCTCCTTGGGTTTCTGAGGAGGTATCACTACGGAAGTAGATTGCCAACTTGCCTTCTGAGGAGTGGCTGGTGGGTTTAAACCACCAGCCTTCTGGTTAGCAGTCAAGTGCCTTAGGCAGTATGCTACCAGAGCTCCTGGCGGATTCAAACTCCTAATCTTTCAGTTAGCATCCAAATGTTTGAACCACTGCACCACCAAGGCTCCTCTTTTAACAGTCAGTGCTCAAATTTATACCATGTAACAGCAAGCAGTTGCTAGTACTTAATGCTTTTAGAGATCATGATATTATACTAGTAGTTAACACGAACTGCTTTAAAAGATAAAGTCCCAAATCCCAAAGGTGTAACACAATAAAAGTTTATTTCTGGTTCATATAAAATTCAAAGATGTGATCTGTTCCAAGTAGTGATTTGTCTTATTGCCCTTCAGTTTTCAAAACATGGATCCCAAAGTCTCTGCAAAATGGAAAAAGCATGGTATGTCACCCTGGGGAAGACTTATGGGCCAGGACTAGAAATAGCATACATGACTTCTGCTCACATCTACTACAGTGGTATCCCTGAAACCATACCTAACTAGAAGGAGACTGAGGAAAAGAGGATATTTGCATGACCAGGAAGAAAAGACGGGAAGCTGGCAATCAGGGAGCTGTCTCTGCTACAGCCTGCATCAGGAATAACAGCTGTTTCCTCCACTTCTTTTTGAACCACTCCCCTACAGTACTTACTTAACATTTTTATTCCTTCCCATTATTTGCATAACTTTTTACCTTCTTTCAATTCCTTGAATGCACCAATTTTCTTCCCATCGGAGGGCTTTTACATGTTGCATCTTCTCCCTAAAATGCTCTTCTCCCTCTTCCAGCCAAGCCTATACCTACTTATCCTTCAGGTCTTGGCATGAAAGTCACTTCCAAATTTGATAACTAAACATTATCTCATT